ACCACTTTTATATCATTGGCTTTCGTAGCCTTTTGAACATAGATCCAACCTTGATCCTTATTCCCTTTTAATCCTAATCATTGAAGTGGAGTTTGCAAACCATAGAAGGACGTTGATCCAGGAAATTCTCTCGATCCCACCTTTGTGATTTATTAAACAGAGTCATTCTTACTGCTTAATACTAATTATCTAATTACCACCGAAGTCTTTCATAGAACAAAAGATCTATGAAAATAGTCACGCATATATCGATCAAAAGCTGTCATTACCCCGTTTCTACAATTTCTCTATCCTCCTCAACGTCTTTCAAATGTCAATCTTCACAAGTTGACATACATATTGTTGTTAACGTAAACATGCATATATATCCTCTAACGTTGTCAATGTCTCTCTTAGTAAAGTGAATTGTTTCGTTTAACGAATATTGGTGATGAAAAGCAAAAATGAGTGCTTAAAAGCTCCATAAAATAATAAATTGTGCAATATTTCATTGTCTTAAATTCTACGGTATTTTAAAAGTAATATTGAGAAAAAATAGAAACTTTAAGGCAATTTATTCAGAGTTATTTCTAATCATATAATATCTTGTGGAGGGTACTAATTATTAACTGAGTTTCATGAATTACGTCTATAATTACTCAACTTTAAATAACAGCTCAATTTCTAATTTAAAGGTATGCCCATTAATATAAATCGACAAATAACAGCAGTTCACACCTTTATATTGCTTAAATAGTTTCTAATGAAATAATTCTTCATATAAGATAAAAATGAAGCGTAAATCTAAAAAAACTTGATTAACAGAAACATGATTCCTCAGACTTGTGTAGAGCACAAAGTTAAAATGGCTGAACCAGGAAATGTCATGCGCGCTTGAGCAATCCGGAACATGTGGCGCATCGTGGGTGTAGAGAGCCCTCAGTCAATCGGCAATAACTAGTCGTTGTGTGGTCGACGTGGCCAAAATTGTAGTCAAATGATTAAGCTTTGTGCCATTGTCTCACAATCAGAGTTAAAACACTCTCCACTCTGTTTTTGGCCAGATAGGAATGCTTATGTTTAGTTAAAGCATCTTTGAGTAGCGTCAACCACAGACTCCTAATTGCAGCTAACTTTTCACTTTAACGTAAATTAGAAACAAATGCCTTTAATTGCATTATGATTTAATCAAATTAAATCATTATGGACCTATAAAATATCCAGTTGATTCTTAACGACAAACTCCCATACTTTATACAATGTATCGCTTTGATCATATTTATAGTTGGAATAATGTATAAGCCATGCCACTTAGGCAACATATGTGGATTTTTCATGCAAAAAAACAGGACAGTTGAATGCGATGAACAAAATCTTTTTTCAGTGAAAGTTCAGTGAGATCAAAGTTCTCAAGTCGGCTTTTCTCCCTGTCTTCATGCATTCACACCTGTGTCAAAATAATTACAACTAATCAAGCTGTCCTCTCCCTGACATCTCCTGGGTCCCTTTTTATGGTCAACAATGCCTTAGGCAAAGATAAGATGAGTTCTTTGCCCATCATAATGATGGTAATTATAACTTAAGGATCTTTTCTGTGACAGAGCACAGAAAACAAGTACTTCCTGACGAAAACGTGTGAGAGAGAGATTTGAGGATATCAGCAGAGAAAAATAGAGGCTTGTTCAAATCACGAGTGGCCACTCATGTCTTTCTGACCTTCGGATCTTAATGTACTTCAATGGCTAATGGGGTTGCTGTAGGTCAAACGAAATTTGACTTTAAAAATTATGTCTGCAAATAACTTATTCCAAGAGGCGCTTAGTTTTCTAATACTTTGGAATTGTGCATTTTAAGATTTGACACCCGAGCATTTATCATCCATTTATGTACGGTATTTCCTTTTCTGCGCGCGATCCACGATCTTTCACAATTTCAACTTACTTTTTCAACAATTTTTTTGGAAGAAAGGATAGTAGGGGCCGAAAAAATCTGACCACCTAAATATTTTTATTGAATGGTAGGCTTTATGACAGTAATCATCAGCCCGTTAGTTGACTTCATGCTTCACAGAGGGGAAGGAATATCAAAGTGAAAAAAGTCGAGAGGGAGGGGGGGGGGAACAGAAGAGTGTTTCAAAGACGAAGGTTGAAAAGGTAGAAAAAAGGTGAGTTGAGTACTGGGAAGTAGTGGAATATGACATACAGTGGGGTGATGGTAGTTTGAAGTGAAAAGTTAAATGCTGGTTAATAGACTTTTTTGTCGTATGAGTATACGTTGCCCAGGATGCACCACGTGGAGGTAAATCTATCACACACCCCCCTCACCTAAATAATAATAATACTTATGTTCAATTTTTTTCCAAATGAAGGCATGATTTAATTAATTTAAAACGAAGAAACTTGCTTGCAATTTTCTCTGCGCAATTTTTAATAAAGTAAATTTATTTCGTTATTCTAAGTGAAAGTTATGCAATTGGCTATCAGCACATTATGGCGTGATCAATCGCACAAGTCAATTTGCCAATTGACAGTGACAACGACGTCATATCGATGTGAGAGAGAAGCACCAATATCTCTAACCTAATGCAGTGCCAGTTTACCAGACTGTATCTACGATGGCCTTTCAGTACAGACATCTAGTCACCATGTCTCATCCGTACATTCTATTGATTTTAGCAACTTTTATGAATTCTTGTTATGGATTCGCGATAGACCTACCTCCACGTGGTGTTTCCTGGGCAACGTATACTCATACGGCAAAAAAGTCTTTTAACCGGCAGTTGACTTCTCACTTCAAACTACCATCACCCCACTGTATGTCGAATTCGACCACTTCAACAGTACTCATCTTACCTTTTCTCTGCCTTTGTGTCCGTCTGTCTCTTTTACATCTGTGAATCACTCTATTATTCCCCCTCCCGAATTCCTCTCACTTTGATGTCACTCCCCTCTGTGAAGTACGGAGTCAGCTAAAGGGCCAATGATAACTATCAAAACGCCAGCCATTTGAAATAAATAAATAAATTCTTGCTGTTAACTCACGCAGGATTTACACTACTTTCCGAGTTCAATCTCTATTCTCAAGAGTTGTCTCTAAACGTTAACATTTTGTTCCCCTCTCCCCCCCCTCCCAACCTCCCCATCATGTTGAGGCGTAAAGGGCACATTCTCTAAATTATTTGCCATCATTTACATACATTTTGAAATATTATACTTGACATCTGTCAACCTTTGCCAGTCACTCAAACAAACGCCAGTTATTTCAAAATAGTTAGGTAAATCGCTTACCTCAATTACCAATGAAAACAGTGAAGATGAATGGTGGAGTATTGCCACATTTATGATTCAATCAAGTATCGGATAACCTCACGTACCGCAACTAAAGACAATGTTTCAATGTTTGAATGACAAATTGGTATTTATAAGTTTAGCTATCTTTGGCAATTTTTGTCGTTAGCATTAATTATACGCACCTTGATCACCTTGTTGTAAAGTCCCTCAACAACTCTCAATATACCCACTCTTACATCCCCCCATGCTTCTACACCCATTGTTAATATCCCTGCTAATAAATCTCCCACATCCTCGACGAATGCTATACTCCCTCCCACTTCTACATTCCAGTTCTTCCACTCAGATAATGTTGACTCTATTTTCCCCGAAATCTTTCATATCTTGCTCTGATGCCCATCCCGCTTGTTGTGGCCAGAGGATTAGCTTCGCCTTTTCACTGATGGATCATCTACAATTATTGAGCGCTTCCTTCCATCTAAAAATGCCCTAGAGGGAGGAAGGGGGAATAATTGTGGAGCACATAATCTCATCATTATTGAACTAGGAAGTCTCATGGGTACTCGAACGTTTCGGAGGGTGCTGGCGTGCATGTACCAGGCTTCTCTGCTAACCGCCTATAGTATTCATTGCAGTTACTTTAAAAGTATACAATTACTAATCGTCTTTGCCATGAGGATAATTTCTTTAAGTGATATACTCGTCATATATCTGTTTCTTCCAAATCATTGAGGAAGCTTAACTAATTTCGCGAGTCTTTGGATTTTGAGAAACAATCAAGCCCTATTCATGTAGCAATTCGCTACAGAATCATAAAATCTAAAAGTGTAGGAAGTCAATCGTTTATTTATTTATAACAAATGGCAGGCGTTTTGATAGTTACCATTAGTTCTTTAGTTGACTTCGTGCTTCACAGAGGGGAGGAACATCAAAGTGAGAGGAATTCGGGAGGGGGAATAATAGAGTGATTCACAGATGTAAAAGTAACAGACAGTCACAATGGCTCAGAAAGGGTAAGATAAATACTGTGGTAGGGGTCGAATCTGACATACAGTGAGGGTGATGATAGTTTAAAGTTAGAAGTCAACTGCCGGTTAATAGGCTTTGTTTGCCTTATGAGTATACATTGCCCAGGGTGCACCACGAGGAGGTGAGTCTATCCCACATCCCAGGAAGTCAATTATTTTGTCAATTTTTTGAGCCATCTTGATGAAACAATCAATTAACTGGGGACCCAAAATCTTTATCCTTTGTTTGTTTCCATTAAAGGCTTTCCATCGAGTTTGAATATGTCCCAATGAAACTGTTATGAAGTTATCTTCTGTGTTATGAATTATAAATACAAGTTCTGTAGACCTCAAACGCATTTCCAATTAACTAAATCAATGATCTACGTTATGTGTGCTTCAATAAGCTTAGAAGTATATTATGAGCAGGGTGAAAAGTGAAGATATTTGGCCAAAATTTTGTATTTGATTCACCTTTAAAGTTACCCCTTTCCTTTTCCAATGGCAATTGTTAATTTTAATTTTCCTTAAAGCACACAAATCGAGAATGGTATTTTTGCATGGAAACAAAGTTTAAAATTTATTAAAATTGGATAAATAATCTGATTTTATATCCATTATCTAGAGATCAGTCACATAAGTATGTTTGAATATAAAATCTAGTCTTAAACGCGCGACCAAGTTGTATTTCGAAGGAGGGATATTTTGTTCACTTGAAGACCCTTCAATATTGGGACATGACTATGAGTAGGAGGAGGTAGTAGAAAGCTGTTAAATTGATCCTTGTTGCAGGATTCCACGATCGGAACACAATCCGGGGTACTACAACATTATCGGGATTGACTTTCCTTGGGTTCCGAAAGTTGTTTCCCATGTTTTTAAACTCTTCCTCCTCAGGATACTCAATATAACGCATTGCTTGAAGCTAGTCGTTAAATGAAATATTATGAGATGTTGCTTGATATCGCTACCTAAAACATTAAAAGAGACTCAAAATACCCACCTGACTTGGTGTGACGGGAATGGAGGTAGCAAAAACTGTCCAGTACACATTTTCTGTGCAAGGTGGTGTTGTCAAGGATCCTTCGTATCTGTAAAATCTGGTGCTTCCTCTTCCAATATCTAACAATGCATTTAGAGGGAATGCTGTTAGGTTAACTTCTGCCATGGGAGTTTTTATTTTATCAACCATTTTCAAGAACTCTCCCATTCTGTAGAGCATTGTATTTTGAACTTCAATTTCACTGTCCTCATGGAAAACCAGACCTAATACTGCAAGGCCTTCGAAACCCTTTGCGGCTTCAGCAAAACTTTCGTAGAGCTCGTAATCGTAGGACACTATGTGCATCTATATTGATTGAAATAATTCGGATTAGAAGCGGTTCTATATCTTCTCTACGTTTTATCGCTTCAACATACTTCAAGAGGAAAGGTCTTACCATTTATGGTGTGCTCCGACCCAACAGAACTATTCATACCCCAATGGAAATGGAACTGTTTAATACAAAATGCTCCACCATTCCGTCCTTTAAGTTGCAGGAAGTATTTACACGATGGAAGGGAGACCATAACTGAAGCAAAGAAAAGAATGTGAAAATATACTTTCATGGAATAGCCAACTTGAAGTGGAAGAACTAACGCGTATGGCCATTATTTTGCATGATGAAGGGTTCAGAGCTCTCATAAACACCATTTTGATAGGCGTGAATGGGTTTGAGATTAGAATCGTAAAGAGCTGTTCCATATTCCAATGGGATTGGCGACTGTTTTACTCCATCACACAACTTATTCGCGACTTTTCCCCACTTATCTGCTGATGAGTTGGAATTTGTGTAGGTCCAGGAACCTAGAGTTTGGCACAAAATTATTATCCATAACATTTCCAGATATTAACATCCGAAGAAAACTTTTAACTAAATACTGAACAGCAATTGTATAATCTGTTTAAATCAATTGGGATAATTCACAGTATATGACTTCACAAATATTCTAAAATGGACGTTTTAACGAAACCAGGCAATTGTCGTCTAACCATTTCAATATAACTGCAAATTCGTTTGTGTAATCTGTCAAGTTAAGCTTCTTAGGCATTTATGTGGATGATAAATAATTGCCTCACTTTAAGGCATTGTTAAAATTGTCTATTTTGCCTTAAACGAGCCTTATGTCTTGATTTATAATACCCAGCAATTTTATTGCCACAAAGGTAGCCATCCCATTTTCTAGAGGCTTCGTTCATAACCATTCCATTTCGTTTCCATGGACGATGGAAAGTGGAATAGACAAAATTGACGTCAGATAAACTTAAGTTTTAAATAAAGATCTATAATTTATCCTTGATCGAGGATAAAGTTAAATGCACAATTTATTACTGTAACACCTAAATTAATTTATAAAAAAATTATATAAGCGGTATCAGGTTTTAAATAGTCGCATTTTTCTGTGGATTAAAATAAAGCTTTAATGAATTTTTAAAAATATTTTTTATCTTTTATTGGCTTATATATTACATGTTATATGACCGCCTCACATCATAAACGAATAGTATCATTCATGTCGGAAGGTAGATGAGATTGGTTCGCGTTGCTTCTGAGAATAGCAATCGCATGTGTGTTATTTAAATATTCTTCGTGGGCGGTGTTAGACAAATACCACCAAAAGAACAAATTAGCCTTTTTACCCAAATTTGACTATTCCATTTCAGTTAAATAGTAGTCGATTACCACAGCATCTTATGCTCTATGCTAATTGAAGTCCAATAACTCGAAATTTTATTCAAAAGAGTGGCACTTGAACTTTACATGGGCACTGTCACACTGCCAATTTAAGAAGGGTACTTATAATTTCAGTCATCACAAAATAAGTCAGAGATTTAGTATTTTTTGCAAATTTTAGAAGTAAAGTTAAATTGATAACTTACTGCACAGACCACCTGATACAAGAAGGGTTGACAGGATCATGATCTCGCGGAAATATTTCAGGAACATTTTATTGTCGGTGTCGCAATAACTTGCAAAAGTTAAAAAAAGGGGATAGAAATTTGTTTGAATTTTTCTATATAAGTTAATGTTGTTAGTTTAAGTAAACAGAGAGGTTATTGAAGATATTTCATCTATATAAATGAATATACTTCATTATATTGAAATATTTACCATATTGACACATGCAAGATAAAAATAGCGTCTTAATGAATGAATAACTGATAGCTCTTAGCAGCTTTAATGAACTTTGACCCTGTGACACCCAGCGAACTACCATACTAAATATGAAATATCCCATTGATTCAAAATGAATTAATTTGAAATATTAAAATAATTCCTTTGATAGGGACCATAATAGTCAAATTTAATGGCACAACATTTATGCACAGTATGATCTCACAAAAAAATAAATATCTCAATAGAAACTAAGAGAAGTATTGAAGTCTGGAAAATTCAAAACATTCAAATATATAAAAATTCTTAATAATTGGAACCGCAACTTCGAGGTAAGTATTAAAAATTAGCAATATTATTATTCCGAATTATAAGGACATCCAATTTCATTTTCCAATCAAAGTGCTTGAAATTACTCAAATGTGGTACTTACTTTTAGAGGTTTCAATTAGCCAACTGTTTGTATTAATTGGTTTCGTTTTAAATAGGCTAGGCTCCATGTGCCGATTGGTTGAATAAAGGGCCTTCATAATCAACTTCTGATTGGTTGCTTCGATTGTCTTAAAATAACCGACAAACAGATTTGCCAATTTACAGATGTTGAGGGGTATCTAAATGGAGAAAGGGTATGCACATTTGAGCGTCCTTTGTTTTGGATCCGTTTTCTTTAAAATTAACTCAAAGAAGTTCCTAACTGCTTTGGCTTCCTTCCTCTCATAGTATCCTCATGAAATTCCTAATCTTTAAATGGAAAGTTCGTTTAAAATATTCTTTACTTTGTATGTATCTCCTTGTGCGAATATTATAATCCGCAATGCGGTTAAGATATGCAAATTTTGCCATGAATTTGAATGAAATTCTGCTATACCAAATTTTACCTTGAACTTAAGAGATACCAAAGATTTCAGATAATCTGACGAGTTTAGACTTCAGATATATTTGAGTGCTCGCTATTTTGCATTAGGTAAAATAATAAATAGCCTATATGCTCTGTGGTGTTTCAAGTGTTTTATAAATTTGTGAATTAAATAAATATGCGATTTGCCAGGACTTTTACTAGAAGTAGTTTGTTAGGATCCAGAAGTCAGACTGATAGCGTATATTTGTAATAGAGAAGTAGATGATCTGAATTAAGTTGATGGAAGTTATTTCGATTAAGTTTCTGATTTGAATCAATTTATGCGCAATTAATGTGGCGGCTCAAGTATTTTGGAATTATGTACTTAGATATGACTTGCTACACAAAGCAATTAATTCATTGTTGGAAGTGGGATTTATTTAATTAGAAAAATTTGTTACACAGGGATAATTTGAAAGTGAATTTCGGTGATTTTGCTCTCAAAATATTTTAAAAGGCAAATTATAGGCTTCTTTTAACTGAAACATTCCTATTATTTGTTATCTCAAGCGTATCTGCTGTCTTTTTAATAGTAGCATATAAACTGAAGTCATTTTTAAAAAAAGCTTTATTTTAGTAAAATCTTCGATTGAGTTTAGTTAGCTTGCTCCCATAAAATGGTTTAGACACTTTCCAGGAATGTAATTAATTATTTAATTACTTTTGAACTGGTTCCGAGAAATCCTCAAATTATCTGAAATAATTTCAATATTTATTTATTTATTTCAAATGACACGCGTTGTGATAATTATTATTAGCCCTTTAGTTGACTTCGGGCCTCCCAGAGAGGAGAAAGAATATCAAAGGGATAAAAAGTGGAGAGGGGAGGGGGACAGAATAATGATTCACAAATGTAAAAGAGACAGACAGACAGACACAAAGGCAGAGAAAAGGTAGGATGAGTACTGAGAAAGGGGTCGAATAGGACAAACAGTCGGGTCACAGTGGTTAGAAGTCAGAAGTCAACTGTCGATAAACAGACTTTACTTGCCGTTTAAGTATACGTTGTTCAGAGAGCACCACGTGGAGGTAAGTTTATTGAGCACCTCTTAAGAGGCAAGATTGGAATTCATTTAAGTTGCAAAATTCACAAGGCAAAATTTTAATTACAATGTTAGTTATCTTCACTGACTGCCCTGCAACAAGAAATTTGTGCTCTTCACCAGTAATTAAGAGTTTGAAATTCTCATGATTCGCGTAAAAATTTTCCGAGCAATGATGGGATTTAATTCTGCCTAAACATCAAAAAATATGTCACTCCAATTTAATGCCAGTGAATCGTAATTTCAATTACATCAGACACAAGAAACAGTTTTTTGTGGGATTTCATCATATCCTACAGGAAAAGAAAATATTGAAGGTTGATTTATTTCTAATATTATTTAATTTATAACTGAAAAAATGCATTAAAGAAAACATGTAAAACTGAAAAATTAATGTGTCTACGGGTGGATTAACAAGCCATAACTTAATGCAAACCTTGGATGCTTATAACAACTAACCTAAAAACTGACGCAACAAAAATTTTTAATGTTTATTCTCTTAAAAATGTTTGATTGGGTTAAATTAACTTGATCCTATAAAATTTGTTTGACATGTAATTCAATAATTAATTTTGTAATGGTTAGAAGAACTCTCAATATATTTCAAACAAGTTAAGTCAGATTGTAGCGGATTGCTACCTTAGTAAAGCCTGACTGACTCCACCCTAAGTAAAGCCTGACTGACTTAGAAATCTCTATGGCAGATTCCCCAACATCAAGCTAGACTCCCAGAACCAGCTAAGCTGTAGCCCAGCTATCGGAAAACAGACGTGTAGCAAGGAATACGTTTATTCGATACGGGAAAACAGACGTGTAGCACGGAGCACGCTTATTCAGTACGGATTCAGACGTGTAGCACGGAGCACGTTTTTTCAGTACGGGTATCAGACGTGTAGCACGGAGCACGTCTATTCAGTGAGCATATTACGAACCAGCTAAGCTATAGCCCAGCTATAAAGGAAACAGACCGAAACTAGCTAAGCTATAGCCCAGCTATAAAGGAAACAGACGATAATTCGGAACACGTATATTCAGTCACGTAATGATCAGAAAAGTGTGCACGGAGCACGTTTATTCAGGACGTATCTTGCGGATCAAGTAGGAGCACTTATTCAGGAACTATATTGCGGATCATGTGTACACGCATGGAGCTACTCATGATCAGGATGGGGTATTAGGTTAAACAGAGGTTGATGATTAGTCACTGTTTGTACGGTCGCTGCACACAGAGTTGTACGGCGCACCTCCCAATCCTGGCGAACTGCACACAAAGTTGTACGGCCGCACCTCCCAATCCTGGCATCTCCCAGTCCTGGCGTGCAGGCATGCGATGACGTGTCCCACAAGGCTTGTCCCGAATTGTACGGCCGCACCTCCCAATCCTGGCGAGCAGGCATGGAGGCATACGGTGCACACAGCGATAACGTGTCCCACATGTCTAAGCCAGCTAGATGACATGAGAGATGACCAATTGTTTGTCCCACATATCTTTCTCTTCTTATCAGGATCTCCTGACCTGTTTAGTTTGAGCAGCATTTGAATACCCATTTGGTTTCGCTGAATTAAAGGTTATTTCAAATTTTTAATTTCTAACGACTATTAAAAATGTTATTTGAACTGGATTAAGAGTTTTAATTATAATAATTAGAAAAAGTACCAACTATCTAAACTCCAGTAACATGCTCTGATGAGTTCAAATGACAGCTTGAAATATTTCTTCATTTTTAACAAAATGTACATTTCGGTCATGTTCTTCAAACTATGATCAGTACGAATTGGAACGG